AAGTTGTAATTGCGTATGCATGTGTACTATTTTTTTGTACCTTTGCAGCATGTGCTTCGGAACTTAATTCCTCTTTTCTGTTGAGTTTTGTGTTCGTATGACTATAGTCGTACTAAAAAAACAGCATTAGATAGTTGCATTTTGCAAAACGCAAGCTACTGGTGTATTTGTATGATCGTAAATTACTACCATTACTACAGCTATAGCCATACAAAATTACTATCATTACTACTATACCTACGTTACATTTGTGTCACGTCTTGATTGCTTGTGGTTCAGACTCGATCTTTTTTCGGTTGTTTTCAATACGGACGGTGGTTTACAAGCGTACCATTCGAGTTGGTGATCAGAGGTTCCTTCTCATAAATAAATTGCTTTAATGTCTTCTTTATCTCAACCCTCACCATTTCTTTGTTGGCTTGCTTTCACTGCTACCTTAGCGGTTTCGGAATGTACATTCTTTATCACGTGGCCCATAACTTTGGTCGTTTGTTTTCTGCTACGGCGATTTCGTGGTTGGATTTGGCGAATAGATTATGCGTTATTCACCAAATCTAGCATACTACCGGCGCTCGAATCTGCATTTGATGCTATTGGTAGAGGGAATTCCGGCCGCTGAGATGTCACGAGTGATGAGTAGTTGACCAAAGTTGTAAAAACTATACAAGATTATCGATACACTGCAGATGCCAGAAGACCGCTAAGGCTTGTCCTGCTTACATATTTTCGTAAGCCTCTGGTAGGTAGGGCCTATGCCATAAATCTGAACCGAATATGAATATACTTAGTTCGGTTCGATGTATGTTCTTATCAGGTTGCAGACAAGGGCTGAGGCCGTTCTCTGCAAAACAACCTTTTGACTATTTAATACTGCATGTGCTGCTAGTGTCGGTATGTCGAATTACTAACTAATTTTTCCCCTGCAGAGCAAAGGATCAATGGTAGCAGAGCAGGTAAGCATAAAATGTATTACCGTACGAGTCGTGTGCCACAGTAGTCGTTGCTTTATCGTGTTACGTTTAGCGGTTATGTAAATTTGGTTGTTTATTATCGTCCTTCCCATATGTCCGTCCTATATTGTTTGTTGTTTTTCCACTTCGCTTCTTTGATATTTTACTAGTCGCGAACTTGTATTTGGTTTAAGCAAAATAACGGTATGTATGCAAAGGAAAAAAGGCTGTGAGAAATGTCTGTGCATCTTTAATAAGTTCACATTTATTCATTACGTTTTGCTTCAATAAGGCGTTTGATTCGATCAACATGACAGACGCTTGCTAGAGACGATTACTAGAGACTGAGACGATAAGCCAATTTCAGTCGGTTTTTGAAACAGTACATTGGGCAATCATCAATGGTGAGGACATCAGTAGGCAAGTTGAAGTAGTAATTTCTTACATCAAGTTCATCTTTGACTCTTGCTGCTCGTTGCAGAAGGTCTACGTCATCAACTCCAGCTGCAGTTCTGACACCATCAAGAGGCTGATTCGGCAAAATGTCAAAACGTGTAGAGCAGGCAATTGTGAGGATTTGTGACATCTGCGGAGACAGCTTTCCATCGAAGTTTCTCGTTTCAGCCGCAGTCATCCCGTCTTTATCCTGCCCTGTACAGCGTTGAAGGACAAGTTTACTTAGTAACCGGAAGTCACGGCAATGTCCTTTAATGCTGGCTCTGAAACCTTGAGCAGCTATTTTATGAGGTTTGAAAATGAATACGCGGGCCTTCTAGAAAATGGCTCAACAGTCATAGTCCATAATCTCACCTCTCAGTGGTCATCCGTACTGCATCCCTTCCAATGGCAGTTCAAGAGGATCGAAGCCATTACTACCGCAGGACCAAATAAACCTCACAAAGTGGTCCTGAAACTCGGCGTTGATACAATTTCTGAAGTTTTCTCCCGGTTATAGAGCCGCTGCATAACAGATGGTGTTGTTCAGGAGACAAGGCAAACTATGCGGGTTACACCTATCCCCATGTCGCAAAGACCGACTAGGTTGGTCTT